ACGAAAAAGACATTCAATAATAGTTGGGAAAGATGTATAATCACGCAGGACCAGGTGTTGTTGTATAGCGTGTTGTTGTATATGCGTTATTTACAATCATAATCCAGTGACTGTTGTAGAAAACTGGAAAGCGCGTGCCTTATCACAACGGTTGTCACAAATAACCGTTGTAATATACATAAAGGTCATAAGTTCGACTCTCAACAGCGCCATTTTGATATTTAAATTATTTTGGACATCACGCGAGATATTATAATAGTTGTGTTATATAACCGTTGTAAAAAAATCGGCTTAATTAATAAATATAATCCTACTTTTATACTTTTTCCCATTTTAACCTGTATTTTTATGGACCATATCACAACAAAACAAACAATCACAACAGAACAAACAACTCACATTTGTGATAAAGTTATCATAATAATAATAATTGTATCATAATAATGATAAAAATTGGATTAAGAACCAAAAATGGTATATTACTTCAAAATCAAAATGTCACAAAACAACATACAATTTATAAATTACATAATATCACATAATTGTATCTTGTTGTTTTGGTTTTTTGACTCTTCTTGTCTTCTCTCTTGTGTCTTGACTCTAAAGATCCATGATTTCAAATAATCATACTTTTTAGTAAAAATACAGAGAAATTATAACATACAATTAATATATATTATGAGTAAAGAATAAAATATTTGTTAATTTTTCCATATGCCTTCTTCATAATTGATTCGAATAGCATGCACATCATCTCCATCAATTTCATCATATGAGGTAGGAACTTGTGTTGTGTAAAGAATGGATGGAATATCAAGACTTTTATTACTATGAGAAATGCATTTTATTTGGAGAATGATTGACCATTTCCCCTATATATCTAAAGAGTCGGTCACATAAAAAACTTGTTTTGCTTGAGAAGCCATGATAAATGGTTTTGTCATAAAAGATGCCTTACCAAGGTCAACCAGGATGAATCCTAAGTCATCAATGTGTACACCATTATTATTATTGAGAATCCACTTGCATTTAAATAAAGCCACTTTGAAAATAACATAGTTAATCTCCCAAATCTCAATAATATTATAGACACGATAGTTGCCAATACATGATTCTTATCTTTCGAACTAGAGAAACACATCGATTTAGATTCAACCATAACCTCACTATGTTGCATTGTATTACAATCATATTTTGATTTTGTATAAAAGGTATAATGACCAATGTCGTATGCAGTCCAAATTGTAACATTAAATTTTGGCTCGTATGACAACCATTTAAGTATCTCGGATGCAATACGATCTTTAGATACCATTTCATTAAACCAATCTATGAGTCTCTTGTTATTCTTTATCAACAACAACTTGTCACTCATTCGGGGATATTTTTTCTTCATAAGTGTTTTGTGAGTATCTATGTAAGGTTGAACTTCATCAATATTATTTAATATATAGAAATGTGATTGCATAACTACATCCCGAGCCAGTGGCTCAACATTTAGACCTCGAGTACCTCTTCTGTCTGTGTCAGCATGACGAGACTTTGGAATTCCTATAGAATTTGTTTCCGATAAATAGTTTGTACAAAACTCAATAGCTTCTTCTGTGATGTACCTTTCAACAATCGAAGTTTCTGGTTGGTGATGAATCTTCGTATATCTTTTAAAGATACATATATCGGTCTATTAGATACATCCACCTTAAATAAATTGGACTATAAAACCTGATTTCTCCTACTAGATAAACAAGTAAGTGAACCATAATGTCAACAATTATGGAGGAAAATACATCTTCAATTGACATAAGATTATGACAGTCTCATCTTCTACATCTAATTTTTTGAAATCAAGAACTTTATTACATATGTCATTGAAGAATAAGCACAATCTGGTTATAATTACTCTCACATTTTTGGTAGGATCCCACAGATACCCACTGGTAGAAGCAGTTACATTAATACATAACAATCATGAGATTTTAAACTAATTAAATCGATATCTTTTATTGATACAAGTTTCTTGATGTTTGATGAGTAACCTTGGAGAACTTTGATATCATGCAAACACTCGCAACGATTTTTTTGTTCCTTTTTAGATAGAGTGTAACATGATGGAGGCAGATAAGTTCTTTTTTCTCTTTCTATTGGAGCCAACTGTTTTTGCATACCCATCGCCTCCATATCAAGCAGGGAAGTCTTACTATATTTAGTATTGCATGGAATGTTTAGAAGTGTTCCAATCAAACTATCACACATACATTTTTCTCCACGTGCATCACATTAAGACAATGTCTAAAATCAAGACTTGGCCAATATGGAAGATCAAAGAAAACCTACATCTTTTTTCATATATTTTTCTCAACTGGCCCTTTTTCTTTTTCTCTCTTTCCAAAAACAACATTAATGTGTTCTTGTCATTGATACACTTCATCCTCAGTTAAAGGTGTAGGAGCCATATCAAACTCCTGCTCTCCATTAAAAGCCTTATGCAATCTACGATAATGATGATCGGGTTTTAGAAAATTTCGACGCCCAAGGTAAACGGTATTTTTCCAAACTCGAGTTGGTGATAACAAGTATTAGATTCACATATAGTACACGCTTTATATCCTTTGACACTATATCCAGTCAAATTACCATAAGCATGAAAGTCGTTGATTGTGAAAAGTAACATTACATACATCTTAAACTTTTCCCCGGAATATGCATCATCAACTTCAATGCCTTTATCCCATAGAAGTCGTAAATCTTAGATTAATGGACTTAGATAAACATCTATGTCATTACCAGGTTGTCGTGGTCCAGAAATAATCATACTTAACAACATATACTTGCGCTTCATGCACAATCATAAATATGAGCATTCTTAAAAGAAGATTCTCCAATATCACGAGACATATCCTCTAGTAGATCTCCCAATATTCATCTTCATTCACTCTTTGACTTTGTGACAGATGACTTCCCTCATTATCCACCTCACCATGCCACATCCATATTTTATAATTTCGACATATACCAACAACACATAGGTGATGGAATATTTCATCCTTTGTACCTTTATGGATATTCCCGCAATTAACACAAGGATAATAAAAGATACCATTATTGCCGAGAAGATTTTTATCAGCATATTCAAGGAATTCAAGAACTCAATTCTCATAAAATGAACCTAATCAATTAGATTCTATCCAACTACGATCCGTAACAACTTCTGAAATTTATACACGAATGATAACGTGAATGAATCACCAAAATCTAAACCAAAACCATATTAAAAAACTAAAGCATATTCATAACAAAAATATACTTCTAAACCTTAAGCATATGCATAACAAAAATATTCACAACAAAATAATATCCTAAAGCATATGAAAATAGCAACATGAATGAAATATGAAGCAACCGAAAAAAAATAACATGAACGAAATATGACGCAACATAAAAAAGGAATGAAAACTGAAGATGAAGAGTATCGTACTTCGACGATGAAGACGAGATCAAGAATGAAGATGTCGAATATTTGTGATTCAAATGATGGAAGAGGGTGAAGATTTGAGTTCTAAATGAATGGATATAGACTACGCTACCGCTGTCGTCTCTGAGTCGCTTGTTCGCCTAAGGCATCTTATGAAAGAAATGCATAATAAGTTTTGTTTTAATTTATTAGTTAAACCTTTAACCACTGTTAAACAAATCATCTGTAATGGAAAGTCAAACAATCTAACAACGATTGAGCCAAACCATTATTGTTATATCCATTTTATTTTTTATTTAAAAATAAAAGACACACCTTAACGTTAAAGGAATAAAATATTTGACGGAGCAGAGGTTCGAACCCATGAAATCTTGATTGTATCACAAAGGTTATGTCAACAACCGTTACTATATCCTAACAATTTTTAATTAAAAAATAATTAAAATGTTTGCGCTTGAGTTTAGAGATGTCACCACGGTGTTGGAAGAATCGTGGTGATTTTGGCGTTGTTGTTTGCGTGTTTTATAGTAGTGATTAAACTCAATCTTTATTTACAAAACTTAGCGACGTGAAACTATTTCAATATGCATATATTCAAATAACATCAACAACTTAAAGAGTGAGACAATCTTTTAGGCAGTGGGTATTGAAAATAGCCACGAGAAAATAACAAAAATAAACGCGCTCTAATTGGATGAGGGTACCAAATTACAAGGTTTCTTCTTTAGGTTAGGCATGACAACGGGGTGGGGCAAAGATATATGTAAAAATTATAAGCCCCAACCTATCCACCCTATACTAGGTCTACCCCGTCCCCAAACCAAGTCGAAGGTTATAATTTACCATCCACTCCCGCTCCCAGTGGGGAACGAGTTTCCCTGCCAAACCCCGCACCCACCCTTAAAAACTATATATTTTTTTGGAAAAATACATGTTTTTTACTTAGCATCCCAACCACTGCTAAGGATGATGGTGGGGAAAGTATTAGCATCCCAACCACGACCCTAGTAAATAAAAATTGGATTCCCCCATCGCACCAGTAAATAAAAACGGAATTTTCCATGCATCCCATCTAATTAAATCAAATTTTTCTCGTTTGATTCATTGCAGGGCAGCGGGGTCCGGGCAAGGCCTAATATTTTCCATGCTTACTTAGGGCCCAATAAAAGATACTAAAAAAAGTTTAAATCAATTTATATCATTGTGAACTTGGGAGGTTTTATCCTGCCACCTCCCAATTTTGACTTGACACCCACACACCCCTATATTTTAACCATATTAGCCGTGTACAATATTATATTTGATTTCACAAAAAGTATTAGAGAAATTCAAATTTTTAGAAAAGCTCTGTAATTTTCCAAATATTTTATACACACTACCAGATATTCAAGTATAATTTTTTATCGCATATTTACGATTTTTCTACACTATCTGACATAGAGGATCTAGATCTGCTTCTGGATGGACGAGAAATGATTAGGATGAGTCAATTGATGTTCAAGCACCAGTTTAGGATGACATTTAGTTGATGGCAGAGATAGATGTGCCATATCTAGCAGAGACAGATGTGCCCCATAATTCTGAGATGGAAGAGGTGCCCCGTCCTTCTGAGGCAGAGGCACCAACTACTATAGAGGTTACTCTGGAGATAGTTATTGATTCGCCTACTCCGCATACGACTACTGGGGTACCAACTACTGGTGATATGGAGGTTACTCCTCCTGTTGAGACAAATGTCATTGATCTTCTTGTTGAGACATATGTTATTGCTCTTCCCTTTGAGACATATGTCATTGCTCATGCTTTGACAAATCCGTCTATACACACAGATGAAGGGTTTCCTGGTGGGCCCAATGACTATTCAGTTCTAACATGATATGTAGATCATGTGGTATTCAGATTATGAAAATGAGAGGTATGTATATGATATGTCGATGATGTGACTTTATTAGTTACTGATACTTTGAAATTAATTGATCATTTTTACTTTATTTGTTACACGAACGTATTCCGCTTAAGGTTTCCACCCATGAGATGAAGGTGAAAAAGTTATCTGATGCCGTAATGCCACCAAGAGTGGAGGCAATAGTTGAGGAGTGTGGTCTCCTTCCACTGGTGGACAATCACTTACTATGCTCGACAATCAAATATTGACAACCTTTGTTGAGCGATGGCACAAGGAGACATCTTTCATGCATCTTCCATTTGGTGATATGACGATTACATTGGATGATGTCTCATTGCTTTTCCATATTCCGCTGACAGGTAGTTTCTTCATGGCTCTTATCATTAGTCATAAGACTGCACATATGATTGTCCACCGTCTGGCGACACACCTTTCGCGTCCGCTTCACCCAGAGATGCTAGAGGCGGCGCACTCCAGAAACTATCTTCTATTCTTCCATCCATCACCACTTATTTTTACTGGCGACGGCCTAGCGAAACTCCACCTCCCGACGACACAACCTTTATCGCCCGTAGATGCTGCGCAAACATGGTTTTCCTGTTGCAATTTCCAATATAAACCAGTCCAATTTTCCTGCGATTTCATCACATTACAGGTCCTAAATCATCATCTAATCACATGGTTTTATCATCTATACACATATTATGATACTACACTACCTACACATCAATTATAAGTTATTATTCATCACCAATTCACCAATTCCTCATTAATCATCATCATTTCCTTATCTACCAAAACCTAAGGCAATTCTATCATCATCTAAACCTTAAATCAAATACAATAACAATGATAAAACTCCCCTTACTTTAGATTATTGCAGAAACTCCAATCCCTTGGTGTTCTATCACAAGATCCTCCTGTCTCTATGCCCTAGCTTCCTTTCTCCATATCGTCTGTTCCAATTCCACGTTCGCACAGAATGATCGTGTAAATCCCAAACCATTTCCTTATACCAAACTTGCCCTCTTAGACCCCTAATAATGAACTTCCCATTATGTCGTCACTTATCCTTCCTTAATGACTACAATGCCCTTAATTTCTCTACATCATATATTATTCTATTTATTTAAATCAAATTATTCTAAATAATCACTACTAAATCTAATAACACTAAACTAATTGTTTAAATTCTAAAACTTCTTATTATCCCATTCTACACCACACAAATCATCGTCTTAAACATCCTATTCACCAAGTAATTGTTATTGCATCACAGATGCATCACAAATACACATCATATATCGTCACAAGGACTCACACAAAGCACCAAAACATCATATATATATATATATATATATATATATATATATATATATATATATATATATATATATATATATATATATATATATCAAACATTTCACAAAGACTCGTATATTTACGCTAAATTAATTAAATAATAATTAATCTAGAATTTTGGGTATTACAGAAACTATAGAAATGACAAAGAAGATAAGAAATATGTGCAGTGCTATAATTGAGAAAAGTGGGGTCACGTAGCCAAGAATTATTGGTACATAAAAGACAAGGGATCGACAGACAGGGACGAAGGAGCGAACTTTGCACGCCAAGATTTGGATGATTCTGAAGATGGTATGGTGGTTATGACTGCAGTTGTAGATAACCATGTCGAATCCAAGATCTGGTTTCTCGACTCAGGCTGCTCGAATAACATGACTGGTTGAAAGGAGTGGCTGGAAGATTTTGACGAGTCGAAGAAGAGCAAGGTAAAACTTGCTGATAATAGTTCGTTGCAAGCAAAAGGTACTGGCAGCATAGTCTTTCACATGAGTAATAGAGGGAAAGCAATGATCAAAGATGTGTTCTATGTACCTAGAATGAAGTACAACTTTCTAAGTGTTTGAAAACTAGTCGAAAAAGGTTTCTCAGTTGTCATGAAAGATGGAGTTTTAAAATTGTTCGACACCAAGAACAGTTTGATCTTAAAATCTCATATGTCAAAGAACGCAATGTTTTGGACTATGATCAGTTCGACTGAAGTACAATGTCTAAAAACTGTTGTCGACCACAAAGATAGTTGGTTATGGCATTTGAGGTTTGGACATTTGAACTTTCGATCACTCAATCAGCTGATTACTCAAGATATGGTATCTGGTATCCCAAGTCTTGAGATGCTCAAAAAAATTTATGAAGGTTGTTTAGTCAGAAAGCAATCCATAAACTCTTTTGTTTGGACTATGCCAATGAGATAATCATGCATATTCGAAGTGGTACATTCAGATCTATGTGGTCCATTCGAAGAACATACCATTGGTGAAAACAAATATTTTGTTTCGTTTGTCGATGAGTTCAGTCGAAAGCTGTGGATCTATGTGATCAAGAGAAAGGATGAAGTATTCAAAATCTTTAAGAGATTCAAGATACTTTTCGAAAACCAGAGTGATAAGAGGATAAAAGTTCTGCGAACAAATGGAGGTGGCGAATACACATCCAAGATGTTTGAAGATTTCTGTGCAGAACATGGTGTCGATCATGAGGTAACTGCTCCTTATACGCCTCAACATAATAGAATTCCATAAAGAAGAAACAAAACCATATTGGATATGGCGAGATGCATGCTGAAGCAAAAGAATTTTTCAAAATATTTATGGGGAGAAGCTGTTTTGAGTGCAGTTTATATTATGAACAGGGGCCCTACCAAGAAATTGAAGAACAAGGTTCCTGAAGAAGTGTAGAGTTGCAAATGACCACCAGTGAGTCATTTGAAGGTGTTTGGCTCTATGTACTACAAGCATGTTCCTGATGCAAGAAGAAGGAAGCTTGATGAGAAGAGTGAACCTATGATTCTGATAGGATATCATAAGACTGATGCATATAGGCTATTCAATCCAGTTAATGAGAAGATTGTGTTGAGTCGAGACATTGTGATTGATGAAAATTATTCTTGGGATTGGAATTCTGATGATGCAATAAACAAGCCATAAATGGGCTATGGTTTCGATAAAGAAAATGATGAAGTCGAAGTCGAAGAAATTATTAATCTTCCAGTCGAAGTTGAAGCAGTTGCTGACATCCATGACAATATCGAAGTCGGAGACGGTGTGGCTGAAACAAGCCAAAGACCTTAAAGAAATATAGTTCTTCCAACAAGACTTCATGATTATGAAGTGGTGGTGATGATGAAGTCACACCAGATGGAGAATTAGTTCATTTTGCTTTACTTGCAAGTGCTGGACCAATAAACCATAACAAAGCTTTAAAGATTCAACAATGAAATTTAGCTATGATAGAAGAGTTACATGCAATCGAAAGAAACAACACATGAGAGTAAGTTGAATTTCCAGAACATACAAAAGTTATCGATGTAAAGTGGGTGTTCAAGTTGAAACACAATGCTGATGGGTCGATAACAAGACATAAAACAAGATTAGTATCTCGAGGTTTTCTTCAAAAAGCAGGACTCGACTACTCTAAAGTATTTGCTTCAGTAGCAAGATTGGAGACTGTTCCACTAGTGGTAGCATTGTTATGCAACCAAGGCTGGTCAACATTTCATTTGGATGTGAAATCAACATTTCTGAATGGTCCTTTAGACGAAGAGGTCTATGTCACACGATCACCAGGATTTGTGATTCAGAACGAAACAAGTAAAGTATATAAGTTGCGCAAAGTGCTTTATGGCCTCAAGCAGACACCTAGGGCATGGAACAAGAAGATCGACTCATACTTAGTCAATTTGGGATTTGTAAAATGCAAGTATGAGAATGGTGTCTATGTTCAGGTTGTAACACAAGATATAACAATCATCTGCTTGTATGTCGACGACTTACTGGTAAGTGGAAACAATTTTGAGAACTTTTCGAAGTTTAAAGAGCTAGTGATGAAGGAATTTCAAATGTCGGATATGGGAAAATTGTCTTATTTCATAGGCATGGAATTTCAAATGTCGAAGCAAGGTATGATACTACATCAAAGAAAGTATGTCAAAGAGATACTCAAGAGATTCATAATGGATGATTCGAATTCTGCACCCTTACTTGTCGAACCAAATGTGAAGTTGGAGAAGAATGAAGAGGAAGACAAAGTCGGTGTAACTTTGTTCAAGCAAATCGTGGAATCTCTGAGGCATGTGTGCAACAGTCGACCTGATATAGGTTTCATAGTCGGATTAATGAGGAGATACATGAGTGAACCAAGAGTGTCACACATGAAGGCTGCAAGAAAAATTCTAAGATACTTAAAATGATCAATAAATTGTGGAATACTATTTCGACGAGACTCTGAAAGCAAAAAAGCAACTGTTAATTGTTTTTCAGATGCTGATCGGTGTGGAGATAAGGAAGATCGAAGAAGCACAATTGGATATTTCTTTCAAGTATTTGGTGCCCCAATCTCATGGTGTTCAAAGAAGCAACCGATGACAGCATTGTCATCGTGTGAAGCTGAATATATAGCAGGATCCTATGTTGCATGTCAAGCAATTTGGATCAGGTATGTACTTGAAGAAATGACTATCAAAGTGAAGAAACCTCTTGTATAGGAAATTGACAATAAGTCAGCCATAAATCTGGCGAAAAATCCAGTTCTGCATGGAAGAAGTAAACATATCGAACTGAGGTTTCACTTGTTGAGAGAAAAGGAAAATCGATGTGAACTTGAAGTTAGACATTGCTCAAGTGAAACACAGTTGACCGACATTTTCACCAAAGGATTAAAAATCGACATATTCCTGAATTTAAGAAAGAAATTAGTAATAGTTCAGATTGACTATTTTTAAGTATGTTCGACAACTTGAATTAAGGGGGTGTGTTGAAATATTAGATTAAATTTGATTAGATTTAATATTTAAATATAATCCAAGTTGTGTAACCTCAAGTCCAATTAGGGTTGTATATAAATAGTCATAGTGTATATCCTTATTTTGTACAATACAATTCAAGTGAATA